GCACAAATATCTCACAATGAAATGCACAAATCTCAAGTGCATGCCTCAAAGATTTTTACAAGTCTATATACTTATGTAACTTCCACCCAGATCAAGATATAGGTCCTCTTCAATGCCTCAGAAACCTCCCTCATGCCCCTCCTCAGTCAATATCCCCAACTCTGGCCTGAAACCACAAGTCTGATTTCTATCACCTTAGATTGATTTTTCGTGTTCTTGAACTTTATTTATATTTTTACAGATTTTATTTATTTATTTGACAGAGAGAGACACAGCGAGAGAGGTAACACAAGAAGGGGGAGTGGGAGAGGAAGAAGCAGGCTTCCCGCTGAGCAGGGAGCCCGATGCGGGGCTCGATCCCAGGACTCTGGGATCATGACCTGAGCCGAAGGCAGCCGCTTAACGACTGAGCCACCTTAACGACTGAGCCACCCAGGAGCCCCTGTTCTTGAACTTTATAAAAGGCATCCACATGGTACTTTCTATCTGCTCTCTGGTTTCTTTCACTCATCATTAGTTCTGTGAGATTCTTCCACGCTGCTGCGTGTATCCGCAGTCGGCTCCTCTTTATTGCCAAGGAGTGTTTTGTTGTACCACTCTTACCACAGTTTATCTACTGTCCTGTCACTGAACATTTGCAGTTTCCAATTTGGGGCTGCTGTGACCATTCTTGAATAAATATGAATACATTGCATGTAATCTAGTTGATGTTTTATTGTACCAGGTACATGGAAATTGATTTTGTGATTCCCCTTGTAAAAAAAATGCTCTCTATTGTTATTGAATATTATGACTGTATCATTATGACATGAACCTGCTTAGTGTCCTGCACAATGCAAACCTTCCCCCACCCCCAACACACACACTTACAGAACAGAACCATTTATCTACACAGAACCCTGAAGCAAGGGCTTATTGTTGCTATTCCTGTTTCACACATGAGGACATCATTCTGGGGTGTCAGGTGACTTGCCTAAAGTCCTGCAGTTTAGAAGGGGCAGAACCCTCACTTGCCGGGCCTAGGAAATCCCAAGATGTGTCAGATGAGGCCTCAGCCCTCCCCCAACTGGTGTCGGGCAGGAAATGCACAGGAGAGCTGTGTGAGGCCATTACTGGGCACGTAACGAACAGTCTGTGCCAAGTGTGAGTTGCAGAGTCACTGTAGGCATGGCGAAAGCTTCCAGAGCTTGGGGTAAAGTCATGGGTAGAGAGCAGGGCCGATGCGCCCTGAAATATCAGCACTCCCTGGATTGCCTCTCCCCAGCCTGAGAAGAAAACTGCCCTAGTGAACAAGCAAGGACAGGCTGGGTGAGGATGCCATGAGAGCAGGTTGTTGGAGGCTGAGGGAGGCTGCAGCAGAGGGAGCAGGAAGGCAGGCTAGTGGCCTTCCACCAGCACCTGCTGGCAATCCTGATTGCAGCACATCCTAACTTTCAGGGAAGGGATAAGAGCCAGTATTTCACACAGTACAAAAGGAGACAGAGGAAACATTAAGTCTCCTTCCCATTCTTGACCTCCAAAGCAACTGACCTCCCCAGAAGCAACCATTTGTTCCAGGGTCTTCAGTATCTTTCTGGAGATATTCATGCCCCATGTGCTGCCATCCTCTATGTCCTCTATTGCTCCTTGTTTTCCTCACATCAGTGTCATTAGGCAATCAGTCTGTATCTGCACAGAGTCATGATGGGGAACTCAAATTCGACAGGCTGTGGGCCTGCCCTTCACCACCTCTCTGTCCTCATTTCTCCCCACTCTCTCCCTTTCTCCTGGTTCATGTTGCTCCAGCCACAGAGGCCTCCTTGCGAGTCCTTGAACACATCTAACATACTCCTGCCCCAGGGCCTTTGCACTAGCAGTGGCTTTTCTCTTTGTGTGGAGTGCTAGGATTCTAGTTATCTCCGTGGCTTATTCCTTTACATCTTTACTCAATGTTCCCTTCTCAGTGAGGCCTCCCTGACCCCTTCCTCCAATTATAAACCCTAGACTGTCCTATACCCCTTAAATGCCTTACTCGGTGCCAGAGCACCCACCTAGGTGCAAGCTCCCGAGGACAGTGACTTGGTTTTGTTCCCTGCTGAACCCTTAGCCTCTGTAGCAGCATATAGTGGACCCTAAAGATCCATGAGTAGAATTAACACTTGGATGATAATAGTGCTACCTCAATTTTTTTTTCTTCCAGCTTCATTGAGATATAATCGACAAGTAACATTGTGTAAATTTAAGGTATACAACGTAATGATTTGATATGCATATATATTGTGAAATGATCACCACAATAAGGTTAGTTAGCACATCTGTCACCTCACATAGTTACCTTCTTTTTTTTTTGATAGTTTAATGTTCTTTTCTTTTTTTTTTTAAGATTTTATTTGAGAGAGAGAATGAGAGAGAGAGAGCAGGAGAGGGGGGAAGGTCAGAGGGAGAAGCAGACTCCCCACTGAGCAGGGAGCCCGATGCAGGACTCGATCCCGGGACTCCAGGATCATGACCTGAGCCGAAGGCAGTCACTCAAACGACTGAGCCACCCAGGCGTCCCATACTTCAGCCCTTTTCTTTTGCCAATGAGGCTGAGTTGGCTCGGGGGCAAGAGCAGGGCCTTATGGGTAGATGTTTATCTAGCCCTAACACTGCACCCAAATGATTTATTGTTTCTCCACAGAGCCCTGCAAACATCATTTCCAGTGTCTGGCCAGAGGTACAGGGAGAGACAAGTTTGATGTTTAACGGGCTGACACTTAACCGACTGAGCCATCCAGATGCCCTTTTACTTCATTCTTTTCAAGGACCACATTATATTCTATGGGGTGGTGGCTGAAGAATACGCCCCCACACACCCAGTATCCAATTCCTGTGCCAGAACTTATATATACGCTACCTTTTATGACAAAAGGGACTTTGCAGAGGTGATTAAGAATTTTGAGGAGGGGAGATGATCCTGGATTGCCCCAGCAGGGCCCAATGTAGTCACACGTGTCCTCATGAGACACCTGCAGAGGGAGATGGGCCGTGTGACAACTGAAGAAAGGTGGAGGAGGGGACCAGGAGCCAAGGCATGCCGGCAGCCTCTAGAACCTGGTAAAGGCAGGGAAGCCGACTCTCCCCCAGAGCCTCCAGAGGCAGCACCACCCTGTGGACCCTTCGATTTTGACCCAGTGATACTGATTTCAGACTTCTGCCTTCCAGAACTGTGAGAGAATAAATGTGTGTTGTTCAAGCCTCCTGTTTGTGCTTCTTTGTTACAGCCACCATAGGGAACAGATTCTTGTGGTATGGATACCCCATGATTTAATTAGCCGCCCATTCCTAGTGGGCAGTGCACTGTTTTCTGTCTTTACTACACTGGGTGCCACCGGCAGTGGCTCTCAACTGGGGAGATTGTCTCCCAGGGGACATTGGGCAATGTTTAGAGACAGTTTTATGTGTTACAGCTGGAGGGCTGTGCTACTGGCATCTAGTGGTGGAGGCCCAGGGTTGAACATCCTATAATGTGTAGACAGCTCCTACAACACAGAATGACCTGGCCTCAAATGTCAACAGTGCTGAAGTTGAGAAACTCTGGTCTATCCATTAGATCTGTTCCTAGAAATACAATTTTCTTTCTTCTTTCCTCCCTTCCCTTTTTCTTTCTCTTTCTCTTTTTCTTTCTTTCTTTCTTTCTCTTTCTTTCCTTTTCTTTTTCTTTCTTTCTTTCTTTCTTTCTTTCTTTCTTTCTTTCTTTCTTTCTTTCTTTCTTTCTTTCTTTCTTTCTTTCTTCTTTCTTTCTTTCACTTTCCTCTTCCTTCCTTCTTTCCTTCCTTCCTTCCTTCCTTCCTCCCTTCCTCCCTCCCTCCCTCCCTGTCTCCCTTTTCTCTTTCCTTCCTTCCTCTTTTTTATTTGCGGGGTGGGGGAGGGACAGAAGGAGCGGGAGAGACAGAATCCTCAAGCAGACTCCCCACTGAGCCTGGAGCCCAATGCAGGGCTCAATCCCAGGACCCTGAGATCATGACCTGAGCTGAAATCAAGAGGTGGATGTTTAACGGGATGAGCTGCCTGGTCGCCCTGAGAAATATAATTTCAAATACAATCTCTAAATACAATTGCTGAGCCTGAGGGTGTGTGTTGTTGACATTGCCATATTGTCTGGAGCTACTATTGACTTAAAGTATGTGCTCAGTCCCTATGTGGCAACATGCAGCCTCTGGGATGTTGGTGCAGACGGTGTGGGTCCCCACAGGCCCCGGGAGTTCCTCAAGCCTGGTTGGCAGGTTTGTGAATTGGTGGGGTCAACAGCTATGAGGCAGGTGCTCTAGGGTTCGTTCATTTAACAGCTGGGTCTTGAGCAGCTCTTATGTCCAGGATGAAGCTGATATATCTCTATCCTTACAGACCTCCCAGCCTGATAAGGAGACTGACCTGAAAACAAACCATGTGATACATACAGAGTGGGCAGCGAGGAATCACACTGGGGAAGTCAAAGAGGGCATCATGGAGGAGGCAACTTGTAGCTCCTGTGATGGTTAGTTTTATGTGTCAACTTACCTGGGCCAAGGGATGGCCAGACAGCTCTCAAGACATTATTTCTGGGTGCATCTGTGAGGGTGTCTCCAGAAGAGATTAGCATTTGATTTGGTAGGCTGAGTAAAGAGGATCGCCCTCCCCACTGTGGGTGGGCATCGCCCAACCTGTTGAGCGCTCTAAAAGAGCAAAAGAGCAGAGGAAGAATGGATTTCCTTTCCCTTCTTGAGCCGAGACAACAATCTTCTCTTCATGCTGGTCTTCCAGCGCAGGGCAAAGAGGAAGACAGCAAGGAGAGGCACAGAGTTTGGGGAAGATAGCCGAAAACGGGGACTTTTCAAGTGTTTATGACAGGGCCTGGCCCTGTGCCAGGAAGGAGGGTTGGCAGCGGCGGCGGAGCCTGATTTGGAACTTGGCTCTGGTTCTGGGGCAGAAGGGGCTGGCTGTCCAAGTCACATGCTCCCAGGTCTTCAGGACCCCCGAGGGCCTGGGGTCTCACACTGTTATTTAAAAAAAAAGAACCATACTTTTATTTGAGGATAGCTCAAAGAAATCATTTACAGAATGCCTTTTGTTTTCAAAGCACAGCTTTTCATAAAAAGCAATGTCCACCTTTAATACATGCTCTAGTACATAGCTGTGTGTTGGGGGCTGCCAAGGACACTGGGAGCCCCAAGGCCCCAGGTGCCCTGGTGCTCAGTACTCCTCATCATCTTTGGAGTCATCCTGGACCTGGTGGCGCACCTTTGAGGGCCGCGGGGTGGCTGGGGGGCCTGCAGGGGCCTGGGTCAGGTTAACCCAGCCAGGCCCACGAGGCAGCAGGTGGCTCTCATTGAGTCTGCAGACACGGTAGTTCTCGTAGTGGACGTTGTGGGTGATGTCCTTCAGGTCTTGGAGGTGGGAGCTGGGAGATGGGCAGAGGTTCAGCCTAGGCCCCACCACAGCATCCCCCTGGGGTCCCTGCAGCCCCCTGGGCTTCCTGCATCCTCACCGGATGAGCAGGTCTCTCAGGAGGGGAAACTCACAGTGCGCCAAGTTCTCCACTGTAAGTAAGACAGGACACGGAGTGCTGGCCCTGCCCCACTGTAAGTGTCCGCTGTATGCCCCCCAATATCCACCACAACCTTTCCCCCACATTTCGCACTGTCTTATCCCACTTCCCACTCATTCATTCATTGATTTGTCCCCGGCATCTGGTACAGGCAGCTCCTACATGTAGTTGAATCAGTGAATCCACTAATCATTTATTATTGTACACTTAATAATGACTACATTATTACATTACATTATATACCATATATACCATGTAAATTATATTCTTTTAGTAATTATATTGATAAATTGGAGGCTCAGGCCCTGGCTGGTCTGCCTTCACTTCCCAGTCTCCCCCACAAGGAGGCCTCCCTCTGCTTCCTTGGGTAGCCCTGTCTCCCACCCCACTTTCTCCCAGCCGTCATTGTCTCATCAGCTCTATGGGGGCAAGAACCTTGCCAGTCCTGCTTTCATCGTACCCCCTCAGGAAACACATATAGTCTGCCTGGCACACAGTAGGCCCACAGTAAATTCTGGTGAATGCCTAGGGTGTCTTCTGGGTGCTGGGCATTGTGCAAAGCAGTGGTCTGCCCTATCCAACCACCTTCCATGTGCAGATGTGCAGTTCATCTACTGCACAAAAGCAACTGGCTATGATGTTGATGTCCTCATGCCCATTTTACTGTGAGGAAACTGAGGCACAGAGAGTTGGGGAACTTACCCGAGGCCTCCCAGCTGCAAACAGGGACTTGATCCCAGGTCTGTCTGTTTCCTGACTCCTGGCCCCGTGATGGGTGCTGAGGGTGCCAAAGGCAGTTGGATGTGCCTGGCTTTTCACCCCGCTTCACTTGCTCCTGCAAAGTCCCTGCACTCACCTTCAATGATGCCCCACTTGGTCTTCCGGCCCAGGACACACCTCCCATTCACCAGGTGCTCTTGGTCAGCCCCGACTACAGCAAAGGGGATCCGGTCCTGCAGGAGGAGATGAAACAGAAGGGTTGGCCCTGTCTGGGAGGTGGGGAGAGAAGTCACTGGGGTGTGGTGGGAGAGGCACACTGTCCTCTGTAGAGAGAGAAAGTGGTAGGAAGAGCACAGAGATCTAAAGACATGGGGCAACTGGCTGGCTCAGTGGAGTGTGTGACTCTTGATCTTGGGGTTGTGAGTTCGAGCCCCACGTTGGGTGTACAGATTACTTAAAAATAAAATCTTAAAAAGAAAGTCACAGGATACACAGTCTCATCAATGGCTCAGTTTAGTCATCTGTAAAGTGGGAGTCAGAATGGCACACACATAGGGCTTTGTGAATGTTTGGGAAGGTTACCCAGGGTCACGTTAATAACATACTCTTGCCGATGGGCCTTCTCTTACCTGGGAAACAGGAACTGTGACCACCTTCATCGGTTATCATGAGGGTTAAAAGACACAGCTTCATAACCCAGGGCTTGGCAACCTACGGTAGGTGCACCGGATTGAGCCCGCACCTGTTTTCCCACATGGACCGTCTGTTGGCACACAGCCTGTGCCTTCATCTCAGACTCTGGTCAAGGCTGCTTCTGTGCTGCAACAGCAGACAGCGGTGACCGTGCAGGGACCACGTGGCCCGCAGAGTCTAACACCTTTACCATCATCTGGCCCTTTGCAAAAAAAAAAAAAAAGAAAAGAAAAAGAAAAAAAGTTTGCCAAGTCCTGTTGAAAATTCTAGTTGTTCGCTTGCTCGTGGCCAGAAGTGGAGACTCGAATCCCTAAATGGCAAAAGTGCTGTCCGGCGGTGGGGGGGGGGGGGTTGTTTTTCATTTCTCCAAGAGTTAATTTGTGATGAGGAAACAACACGCAAGTTGTCTGTTGCACGCTTGTTACGTGCCAGCCCTCAGTGAACGCCCCATGTCTGGATGATTTACTGAGATGTCGGGTTTGTTCTCCTTGTACCCGGTGGAGGGGTACAAGTGGAGGTCGAGGCTCTCCGAGTGTTTCACAAGAAATCCTGTCTGTTGCCCCAGCAGGGAGAGGAAAGAGGGAACGTGTGGAGACATTGGGTACCAGCTGGGAAGCAGGGCCTCCATGTCCAGCTGTGTGGTTTGTTCACTGCACAAAGACAACTGGACTTGAGGCTGGGTAGGGCCGCCACCGTGCAGGCTAGCAGGGTCCCCTGGGGAGGAAGTCAAGGCCTGGGGTTGGTGGACGATGAATCCCAGGCCTCACAGGGTCCTTCGCAGGATCCAGACAGACAGACATTGGATGCACCACGAGGACAGCAAGGTGGGGGCTTGGTGTTGGAATTCACTTGATTTGGGGAAAAAGAAGACGCCATTTTTCCTCTCTCTCCTTTTTTGAAACAGCTTAACTGGGATAGAATTCATGTGCCATAAAATTCACCCTCTTAAAGGTACCGTTCAGTGGCTTTAAAGGTACAGTTCACAAGACTGTGCCCCCATCCCCACCATCTAATTCCAGAGCATTTCACTGCCCCGAAATGAAACCCCACTCCTGTTAGCAGTCACTCCGCATTCCCCCTGACCCCAAGCCCCTGGCAACAACCACTAACCTACTTTCTGTCTCCATGGGATTTGCCTGGTGGGGACATTTCAGAACGGAATCATGTAATATTTAACCTTTTGTTGTCTAGCTCCTTTCACTTAGCGTCATGTTCTCCAGGCCCATCTGTGTGGTGGCAGGTTTTCTCTCCTTCTTAAGGCTGAAGAATATTCCATCGTGTGGACACACCATGCGTGTTTATCCCTTCATAAGTTAATATAAGACATATGCATTATTTCCCCTCTTTGACTACAGCAAATGTTTCCGCCAGGAACGTCCGTGTACACGCTTTTATGTGAACGTAGGTGTTCATTTTCTCTTGGGAGTGGATTGCTGCTGGGTACTCCGCTAACTTAGTGTTTAACCTTTGGAGGGACTGCCAGGTTGTTTTCCGTTTGACCTTCCCACCAGCAGTGTGCGCAAGTTCAACTTCGCCACATCCTCACCAGCACCCGGGATTGCCTGTCATTTTGATCGCAGCCATCCTAGGGGGTGTGAAGTGGCATCCGGTGGTTTTGATGTGCGTTTCCCTTATGATGGGTGATATCGAATCGACATCTTTTTGTGTGCGTATTGGCCATCTGTTCAAATTCTCTGAGGAAATGTCCCTTCAAAACCTTTGCCCGGGGGTGCCTGGGTGGCTCATTCGGTTGAGCGTCCGACTCTTGAGCTCAGCTCAGGTCTTGATCTCAGGGTCGTGAGTTCAAGCCCCGCACTGGGCTCCACACTGAGTGTGGAGCCAACATAAACAAACAAACAAAACCTTTGCCCGTTTCTAAATTGGTTATTTATCTTTTATTGTTGATTTGTAAGAGTTCTTTATATGTTTAGGATACAAGTCCCTATCAGAGATATCATTTGCAAGCATTTTCTCCCATTCTGTGAGTTGTTGATATGACCCATTTCTTGCTCACTTTTTTGAGTTTGTGGATGTTTGGAGATTCATACCTGCTAGGAGTATGTGAACATCCCCCCTGCCCCGAGCTGTAGAGAGAGATGAATCTTCAGATGGGAAGGATGAGTGGAAAGAAAACCACCCAGCCTTGGTCACGCCAGCCTGCCCACCCCCGTCATGGCCTCCTACCCGGATCTTGCTGTTGAGGATTCTGTCGTTGATGTCCTCATCAAAGCATTTCTGCGGGTACACGTCGATGCAGTGAGTCCTCAGATTGTGCTGGATCTGGGGACACAGGTGACCACATCTCATCCTGTGCACTCTGCCTCCTCCTTGCCCCCACCGACCCCATCACCCTGGGCGCCCAGATCACCCTGCGTCTGAAGGTCTCTCGCTCCTCAATGGTCAGGCTGTCGGCCCGGGCAATCACAAGCACCACGTTCACGGTCCGGCATAGCCGCTGTAGGAACTCAATGTCCAGGGGCCGCAGGCTGCGGCAATGATGGTGGTGATGGCACTGGTGAGTATGTGAGTGAGGGGGTGCCAGCCCACAGCCCACGCCAGGGGGCTCCTCCTCCTCCTCCTCCTGCTCCCTGCCCCGGGCAGGGGGTCCTACTCCAGCAGGCCCAGCCACCTCACCAGTGTCCGGTGGGCGGCACGAAGTATACACAGCAGTGCACCCGGGTGTCAGGGATGTGGCGCTGGCGGGTGATGAGGATCTCCTCCTGCAGGTACCGCTCATACTGTTCCTTGATGTAGCCTAGGATGGGGTCCCAGCTGGGGCAGCAGATAGACCCGACCTCAGAGCCCCAGCCCTGGGAGCCCCACCCCATTCCCCCGCTAGGAAGACCAACCGCCCTGGTTGGCCCAGGAGACGGGACTTTCAGTCCTGCACAACCCAAGGCCCTTGGTTACCCAGCATCTTCCTCCTACTCCCCGGAATCATCTGAGAGGCCCCCTGCCATTCTCAAGCTGGGGCCTCAGCTTCCCTGTTCCTAAATGGGGACGAGAAGGGGTGTGGTTTTGAAAGATGAATTGTCACAGCCTGGTTCAAACCACCGTGGACACTCGCCCCATTGCCACAAGGATCTCCTGGGTCCTCTCCCTTCGTCCCTTCTGCCCCTGCCAGGTTATTGTCAACATGGCACCCCAAAAGATCCTTTTACAAACAGTAGTCAGGGCACATCCCTCTTCGGCTCAGCCTGCGGTGGCTGACAGGAAGCCAGAGTCCTTACGTTGCACTCCCCACACTGTCCCACTGCTGCTTCCTGCCTGTCCTCTCCTCCTCCTTTAACCACCCTTCACACGCCGCCAGCCACACCAGCCTTCCACCAACAAACCCACCTCGGGGCCTGTGCCCGAGCCACTCTGCATTGCACACTCTCCCCCCGCGTGAGCACACGGCTCCTTCTCTCATCTCCTGGCAGTCCGCCCAAGTGTTCTCCTTATCCGGGAGGCCTTGCTTGACCACTCTGCTTAAAATCGCAACCCCCCGACAGCTCCCGACCCCTTTCATGCTCAGAAACGTCCTGCTTGGATGACAGAGTTGAAGTTCACCCTCTGTATAACTGATTTATTGTGCTCCTTGTCCCCCCCGCCCCCCGCCCCATGACAATGTAAATTTCATGTAGACGAAGATGTTCATCTGTTTTGTTCACTGCCCTATCCCTGAGACTAGAACAGACCCTGCACACAGAACGTGCTCTATGAAGCACCGTGTGCAGGGCTGGCTCCCCGGGAGTGCAGACGGAGCAATCCCGCAGCCTCCGCACTTTGGAGGGCCTGCACTTGGTTGAATGTTCTGTGGTGGTGGTTTTACAATTCTTCATACTTTTTTGAACAAGGGGACCCACATTTTCATCTCATCGGGTCCCACAAATTATGCAGATAGTCCTGATTTTGCGTGTGTATGTGTTACCAACCACTGTCACAGGGTTGGGCTCTCATCGAGAGCCTAGAATCACTCTGCAAGGTGGGTGTCCTCATTCCCAAGTGACAGAGAAGGAAACTGAGGCTTGGAGAACTTCCATGAGCAGTTCCCAGGTTACATGGCTGGAAAGTGGTCTAACCCAGTGGTCCTGACTCTGGAGTGTGGGCTTCTAACCCTGCAATACCATAACCTTTATTGATCAACGACGTAACTGTGCCAGCCAGCAAGCTCTGACCTTTCCATACTTAACTCCCTTCAATCTTGGAGGGATGGTTGCACATACCCATTATACAGACGAACAAACTGAGACTCAACAATGCCACAGCTGGGTTAGGTTGCTTCGGGGCTGGGCTGTTTCCCTGAGGCCAGAGGGGCAGGGGGAGGGACCACCAGGGCTTGGCCCCCACTCCTGAGGACCCACCACTTGTCGTTGTTGATCTGGTCTCCAAAGCCGGGCGTATCAGTCACCGTCAGCTTGAGCTTCACGCCCTTCTCCTCGATGACTGTTGGGGAAGAGCAGAGTGGGGGGAGATTGGCCGGGGTGGGGTGGGGTGGGGGTAGGGGTGAGGGTGGGGGGGCCAATCACCGTGAGTCACCGACTGCAGCTTCAGCGTCTGGGGTGTGGGCATCCCCAGGCCCGGTATGGTGGACTTCCACATCTTGGACTTGAAGAGGGTGTACACCATTGTGGACTTGCCCAGCCCGCTCTGCCCTGCGGGTAACCAGAGGACAGCAAAGGTGGTGGAAGTTTTAGGCAGTGCTTCTCAGGCTCTTAAATTGTTTTAGAAAGTGAACTGTTTTGTAAGCATAACATAAATACAGAGAAGTGGGTACTATCGTCAGGGTTCCCCTCAGTGCTTACCCCCCCTTTTTATTGAGGCAAAACTCATATGATAAAAAATGAACCATTAGCCTTTTAAAGTGAACAATTCCCCCTGCTTGTTGTCTCTCTCTCCCCCGACAAATAAATAAAAAAAAATAAATAAAGCGAACAGTTCAGTGGCATTTAGTACAGTCCCAGCGTTGTGCACCCATCACCTCCATCTAGCTCCTGTTAAAAACAAAACTGCACCCTGGGTCGCCTGGGGGGCTCAGTTGGTTAAGCGTCTGCCTTTGGCTCAGGTCATGATCCCAGGGTCCTGGGATCGAGTCCATATGGGGCTCCCTGCTCACTGGGGAGTCTGCTTCTCCCTCTCCCTCTGCTGCTCCCTCTGCTTGTGTTCTCTTTTAAATAAATAAGTAAATAAATAAATAAAATCTTTAAAAAACAACAACAAAAAAGAAAACCGCAGGCCCAAAATGACATCACTTAGGCCAAGTCCCCAAAGGAAGGCTTAATATCTAACCTAATTGCAGTTCCCACCTCCCCCAAAATGGAGTCTTGACTGGTAGGTCAGGAATTTTCTGGTCAGTACCAATGAGGTAATGTCACATGGGCCTCTCTATCCCCCAAAGAGAGAGGAGGTAAACCGCCTAGGACACCTTCTTGTCTCCTAAGGGAAAACAGCCTTGCCTGGAACAATCCTCTTCTTTTGCTAATAACTTCCTTGCACGCCCTCCCCTCCCCACTTCTTTTTTTTTTTTTTAAAGATTTATTTATTTATTTGAGAGAGAGAAAATGAGAGAAAGAGAGAATACATGAGAGGGGGGAGGGTTAGAGGGAAAAGCAGGCTCCTCGCTGAGCAGAGAACCCGATGTGGGACTCGATCCCGGGACTCCAGGATCATGACCTGAGCCGAAGGCAGTCGCTTAACCAACTGAGCCACCCAGGTGCCCACCTCCCCACTTCTTATAAAAATCTTCCAACAACAACAACAACAACAACAACAACCACCACCACCACCACCCCAAAATCTTCCATGCTGCACAGCTCCTTGGAGCTCCACTCTATTTGTCAGATGGGACGCTGCCCGACTCATGAATCATGTAATAAAGCCAATTAGATCTTCAAATTGACTAGGTTGAATTTTTTTTTCATTTTTTATTTTAAGTAGGCTCCACACCCAGCATGGAATCTAATGCAAGGCTTGAACTCATGACCTTGGGATCAAGACCTGAGCTGAGATCAAGAGTTGGACACTCAACCAGCTGAGCCACCGAGGCGCACCTGAATTTTGTTTTTTAACACTCAAAAACATTTGCATCGCCCCCCAAAGAAACCCCGCAGTCATCGGCAGTCCCACCCCATTCTCCCTCCACTGTCACCCCTGGCAACCACTGGGCTTCTTTCTGTCTCTGTGGGTTTACCTACTCTGGACATTTCCTGTAAATGGAATCATGCAATATTCACCCTTTTGTGTCTGGCTGCTTCCCCTAAATATCCCCTTTTCAGGGTTCATCCATGTCATACCAGCTGTGGGTGCTTTCTTCTTTTTCATGGCTGAATAATGTTCCATCACAGGAACAGACCACTTTGTGTTTATCCATTCAATCATTTCATAAATTAAGCAGCCCATGGACACAGCACCAGGTCCAGAGATGGAACACATAGTTCCCCATAAGCCCAGTCACGCCCCATCTCAGTAGCTATTGGCCCCCAAACCCCGGGGACAGCCACTTACTTCCCCGACTTCTGGCAGCAGGGAGCAGCTCTGCCACCCTTGTCTTAGGGAAACACACAGCCTGGGCTCTCCTGTCTGGCTCCTTTCACTTGACACTATTTGGTGAGATGCACCCAGACTGTCTATTCTCCCTGCTGTGGGGGCTTCTCAAATTGTGAACCCCACCTTGCAGGAGGGAACACCTTGTTTCACAATGCAGGACACATCTTTGTGTACATAACCGACGTGGTCCTTAGGGATGTGCTGTCCTATCTGGGAGTCACACTTGACTCCCGCCAAGGGTGATACAGACAACCTGAGCTGTGCCACCAGTGGCAAATGCAAACCAGATTTTGCAGACTTGGGTGTGCCAGAAAGAATGCAAAAGTTCTCGTGGATCATTTTTTATGTGGATTACATGTCATGTCACAAGAGTATTTTGGAATGGTCTGGGTTAAATAAAATAAATGTTTAAAATTAATTTCTCCTGTTTCTCCTTTTTTTTAAGATTTTTTTTTAAAGATTTTATTTATTTATTTGACAGAGAGACAAAGCGAGAAAAGGAACACAAGAAGCGGGGAGTGAGAGAGGGAGAAGCAGGCTTCCCGCGCAGCAGGGAGCCCGATGTGGGGCTCGGTCCCAGCACCCTGGGATCATGACCTGAGCTGAAGGCAGATGCTTAACGACTGAGCCACCCAGGCTCCCCTTCACTTTTTTAAAGGTGGCTACCGGAAATTTTTAAAATTACGTTATGTGGCTTACGCTATATTTCTACTGGACAGCACTGCCTTAGAATAATACTGTTCAGGAGCGCCTGGGTGGCTCAGTTGTTGAGCGTCTGCCTTCGGCTCAGGTCATGATCCCAGGGTCCTAGGATCAAGCCCCGCATCGGGCTCCTTGCTTCGCAGGAAGCCTGCTTCTCCCTCTCCCTCTCCCACTCCCCCTGCTTGTGTTCCCTCTCTCGCTGTGTCTCTCTCTGTCAAAAAATAAATAAAATCTTAAAAAAAAAAGAGAGTAATACCCTTCATTGGTGCTACACAGTCTGATGTTTTATGTTCTGTTGGACCTAGTTTATTTTGTGCAAACTGTAGTTTTGGCCTACGAAATTAATTTTGCTTATATAAAAATGCAATTCCGGAGAACCTTCTGAAGGCCAGGCACTGTGCTAAACCGGATGAGGAAAGGAAGCAGAGAAGGGTCAGGGACTGTGCCCAAGGTCACACTCTGGTAGGTGTTAAGGGCTGGGACCAGGATCCGGGTCTAGGTGTTCACCACTTCCTGCCACAGCCTCCCCTTTCATTGTTCGGTTTGGGTTTGGCTGGGCCTCCATGGGTAATTTTTGTCTTTTAAGGCGTCAGTGTTTCCAGGTTTTCAACTATGTCACCTGGTGAGGGACTCTTATCAGGCCCATTTTACAGATGGGGAGACTGAGGCTCAGAGAGGTGAAGTGACATGCCCAGGCCCACAAGGTTGCATCCATTGGTCCGTCCTATGAGTCCAAGCCCCTCACTCACCCACCACCATGATGTTGAACTCAAACCCCATCTTCATGGCCTTGATCTTCAGCTGGTCCAGCATGGCTTCTATGCCCACGTAGCCAAGCATCTCGCAGGGTGGGGTCCTGGGGCTGGAGGGTCTTGATGAGCAGGGGGAGGGGGACCGCCTCATGGGGTCCATGGGGGCCAAGGGCACAGCAATGCCTGTCATCCGGGTGGGTGGAGAGAAGGGGGTCACTGGGGCTCCAGAGGGGGACCCCTGAATTCTCATTTCTGGGCTCTGGCTCCTGAGCTCTGCTGCCAGGCACTCCCGCACATTATACCCCGTAATCTACCCATCTTCCACGTCTCCACGGCTCAAGGGCCTTGGTGTGAGGTACTTGGAGGAGCTGTCTTTCAGGGGAGGCTGAACCCTTTCCCTGAGATGCACAAGCCCACGAATCTGTTCCTCTCCCCTCGCCCCAGCTTCTTTCCGCCCAGATGGGCCCCCGCCCACCCCCGCAGAATGTGGCCAGCCCCGCGAAGCCCGCCCAGGGTCTGGACCCATGGGGACAGAGAGAAAGGGAAAAGCAGCTTTTGTGTGCCACCTGATGGCCTTGGGTCTCTGAGGGAGCTTCAGGGGGCTGTCCAGTCCTGGCAGACCCTAGTGTGTGTGTTGAGGGGGAGGGGACAGGGCGACAGTTAACTGAAGAATCTGAGCTCCACCCCTTTCCCCTCACGTGGGTGGGGTGGGGGTTCCTCTACAGGAGGGAGCTGAGGGCAGGGACAGGTAAGCTCCTCCAGGGTCCTTTCTGAACACTCCCCTAAATCCTTACAACGACCCTGGCCTAGTGTTATAGACAAGAACCCAGGGCCTCTGGGCAGTTCCCTTGCCCAGGGTCACCTAACTGGGCTAAGCGGGCTTCAGCCGGCCCCCCTGACTTCCAAATTCATATCCCTTAATCACTCTGCTAGAAGAAGCCAACCCGTGACCCATAGCTGGAAAGCAGAACATCCGTGTGTTCTCTTCGGGCTGTCCATTGCTGGTGCCACAGTGTTTTAAATCACCAGCACTGAAAAATCAAAAGATTGATTTAGGAAATATTCACCCCCACACTTTGTGCATAATGTTGCTCTGGGGGCCCTCTGGATGGTAGCTTGTTTAATAATCACCCCCGCGCTCCCTGCTTGGTGGGAGGCCTGCTTCTCCATCTCCCACTCCCCCTGCTTGTGGTCCCTCTCTCACTGTCTCTCACTCTTTGTCAATTAAATGAATAAATAAGATCTTAAAAAAAAAATCATCCCAGCGCTTTGAAGCCACTACCATTACTACTTCCAGTTTAGAGAGAGCCCGAGCCAGCCGCTCAAGGCCACCTAGTGAGGAAGTGGCAGGGTGGGATCTGAGTCCATGTGCTCACCCTCTAATGCTTCTCTCTCTCTCTTTTAAGATTTTATTTATTTATTTGACAGAGAGAGACACAGTGAGAGAGGGAACACAAGCAGGGGAAATGGGTGAGGGAGAAGCAGGCTTCCCACGGAGCAGGGAGCCCGATGCGGGGCTCGATCCCAGGACCCTGGGATCATGACCTGAGCCGAAGGCAGACGCTTAACAACTGAGCCACCCAGACACCCCTCTAACGCTTCTCTTGTTCACAGGAACATCTAGACTTTCAGTGTGTGTCAGAGAATGTAAGCTCTGGCGATTCTGGGCCCAGCCCACAGCTGATGAGCTGCCCTCTTTAGCTGGGCCACGAACTCTCCAATTTGCCATAGTCCTCACCCCTCCCTGACGTGTCCCTGATAAGATGTTTCTTTTCTTTTTTTAAAGATTTTATTTATTTGACAGAGAGCGAGGGAGCACAAACAGGGGGAACAGTAGAGGGAGAGGGAGAAGCAGGCTCCCCGCCAAGCAGGGAGCCTGATGCAGGGCTCGATCCCAGGACCCTGGGATCATGACCTGAGCCAAAGGCAGACGCTCAGCCATCTGAGCCACCCAGGCACCCCAAGATGTTTCTTGTACCTAATCCATCTCACTCAGTTCTTTCTCACCTGTTTCCTGGCACGTAAGCAGTCCCCGGTCCCAGGTGTTGGCATTTTCTCTGAAAGCCCAGATAGTAAAGATGTTCAGCTTTGTGAGTCAAAACATCTCTATTGCACTTACCCTTCAGCCCTGCTGTCATAGCGAGAAAGCAGCCACAGACCGGTAAAGGGTGTGCTGTGTGCCCGTAAAACTATTTACAAAAGCAGGAGGTGGCTTGCTGACCCTGCTCTGCCCACAAGTCTGCCCCAATCCACTCACCTCCATTGTCCTGAGCCCCAGCTAGCCTTCTGTCCCTCCATACCCTTGCCCTCTGCTCCCCCACCTTCTACACATCTGACGGCAGAGGCTCAGCTGGGAGTGGGGCTGGGCAGGGCCTGTCCTGGAACGTGGTTTCATCTCCAACAGAGAAATCTCTCAAGCCAAGAGTCCACAGCTCTTGCAGGATCTGGGAGACTGGCCTCTTCATCAAAGCAAATGAGAACATTAGGTGTGATGACCAAACAGTACCGGGGACTTGTGGACTGGCCTTGAGCAGGAAGAGATTTGGCCTTTTGAAATGTCCCCTAAAGAAATAAGCTGCTCTGCAGAGAAAACATACCCCCCCACCCCGCCAAACCATCACATGTGAGTGGCAGTAGGATTCTGAACAATTGGGGGGTGGGAAGCAAGTCCCAGTGGGTGACCACTTGCATTGCAAGCAGGATGATCAGGTTTGCAGAAAGCAGCAGTCATTTGCTGGGCGCTCTTGGCGATGTTGACTGGGAAAAGCCCGGCTTAAAATGATCTGAGCAGTGTGAGCCTGGCAGGTCAGCCCAAAGGTATACAAAGAACAGAAGACTGGAGGGAATCTCACCCACGATTTGGGTGAGTAATACACGGCTAACTAGTGTGAGTTTCTAGGGCACCTGATAAGGCTAAGTGAGTGTTAATGGGGATTATTCCACTCAGCTTAACCTGAGAAGGGGGATACTATGCATACACCCATTTTACAGAAGAGGATACTGAGGCAGAGAGGGTCAGGGATTGTGCCCCAAGGTCACACCCTGGTGGGTATTAAGGGCTGGGAGCAGAATCCGAGTCTGGGGAGTCTGACCCACCTGAAATACGTCCTGCCACAGCCTCCCATCATTGCTCTGCTTGGGTCTGGGGGGCTCTAATGGTGATTTTCATATTTTAACAGCTTGGAATGTCCCAGATTTTCCTTAATGAGAAGGTCTCACCTCCCCACCCCCACCATCAGAAGGTCTTACTTTCATAATGGGCATGAAAAACAAGAAACAATGCACCCAGGGGTCTAGATAGGAAGGCTAAGGGTCAGAGGGGAGAGGAGCAGACAGAGGGCTTCCTGCCCACCCAGCCAGGCCAAATGGTGGGGGGACAGGGGACACAGCTGGGGACCCCTATCCCTCTTTTTAAAACATTTTTTTAAAGATGTTATTTATTTATTTGAGGGGGCAGGGGCAGAGGGAGAGAATCCCAAGTAGACTGCGCTTAGCACGGGGCCCGAAGCAGGGCGTGGAGCCTGCTTTGGGGCTCGATCTCACAACCCTGAGATCATGACCTGAGTTGAAATCAAGAGTCGAACGCTCAACCGACTGAGCCATCCAGGTGCCCCAGTGCTTCTCTCTTTTTTAAAATTGAGGTAAAGGGGTACCTGGCTGCCTTAGTCAGTAGAGTGTGCAACTCTTGGTCTTGGGGTTGTGAGTTCAAGCCCCATGCTGGGTGTAGAGCCTACTTAAAAATAAATAAGTAGGGGCACCTGGGTGGCTCAGTTGTTAAGCATCTGCCTTCGGCTCAGGTCATGATCCCAAGGTCCTGGGATCGAGCCCCGCATCGGGCTCCCTGCTTGGCAGGAAGCCTGCTTCTCCCTCTCCCACTCCACCTGCTGTGTTCCCTCTCTCGCTGTGTCTCTCTGTCAAATAAATAAATAAAATCTTTAAGAAATAAAAAAATAAAAATAAAAAAGTAAATAAGTAAAATTGAGGTAAAATTCACATAAAATTAACCATTATCCATTCTTTTTGTAAAAGATTTATGTATTAGAGAGAATGGGGTGGAAGAGGAGCAGAGGGAGAGAATCTTCAAGGAGATTCCCTGCTGAACATGGAGCCCAACTCAGGGCTCAATCCCAGGACCCCAAGATCATGACCTGAGCCAAAACCAAGAAGTCAGATGCTCAGTCGATTGAGCCACCCAGGCTCCCCCACCGTTATCCGTTCTAAAGAGAGCAGATAAGTGGCAGATCTGAATTGAGTACATTCACAATGTTGTAATGCCACCCCTATCCTGTTCCAAGACATGTTCATCACCCCAAAGGAAATGCCATCAGCACTAAGCACCCACTCCCCTTCCCCCGCTTTCCCCAGCCCCTGGCTACCACTAACTACTTTGTCTCTATGGATGTGCCCGTTCTGGATGTTTCACAGAAACACAACTACACACTATGTAGCCTCTTGTGTCTGGCCTCTTTCACCGAGCACCATATTTTTGAGGTGCATCCATACCGTAGCAGGTGTTAGTACTTGATTCTTCTGTATGGCTGAATAATGTGCCACAGTATGGACAGATCGCATAGTGTTTATCTGTTCATCGGCTGAAGGACACTTGGGCTGATTCCACCTTTTGTTTCCACCTTTTGGCTCTTGTGATCAGTGCCACTGTTGAACAATTGTGCACAAGTCTTTGAGAACCTGTTTTCAGTTTTCTTGGTTCTATACGTCGGGGTGCAATAGCTGGGTGTTTGATATCACCACGTGTGACTTTCTGAGGCACTACCTGATTGTTTTCCACAGGGGCTGCGTCCCCCGCCCCTCCTTTGGCAATAACACTCCAGTTGCTTCAAAACGACCCTGCATCTGAGATCTCGGAATGGGACAGAGGGATTGTAGGGTATAAGAAGGGGACCCAGGAGACCCTAGAATATGCTGGTCAAGAGCTCTGGGATCTGAATGCCTGGGTCCCAGTTCTGCTTCTCTGCTCACTCTGAGTATGGCTGGCAGAATCATGGCTCCCAAAGATGTCTTCATCGTAATCCCTGGAACCTTGGAACAAATATTTTAACTTACCCAGCAAAAGGGACTTTGCAAACGTCATTAAGGATTCTGATGGTGAGATGATCCAATGTGATCCCAGGGGTCCTCGTGAGAGGGAGGCCAGGAGGGCCAGAGTCAGAGAAGACCAGGACGGAAGCAGACACTGGGATGAACAAAGGAACGTGCGTGGCCACTAGAAGCTAGAAAAGGCAAGGAACGGACTGTCCCCTAGAGCCTTCAGAAGGAACACAGCCCTGCCGACCTGTTTTAGACTCTGACCTCCGGAACCGTAAGACAATAAATTTGGATTGTTTCAAGCCACTAAGTGTGTGGTGGTATGTTATAGCAGAAACGGGAAATGAGTGCATTAGGTGTGTGACTTGAGCTGGTTGCTAAACTTTTCAAGGCGGCACCTTTCATACCTGTAAGTGGGCAGAATGGTAAGAGCCACTTGAGGGTTGCCTCGGGGACACACCCGGTAGTGGATGTGTGGTGTTAGGTGTGGAGCCCGACACTAGCTGAGGTGTTCTCCCCTGCTAGACCACAAGTACCACAAGCACCACAAGCACCAGAAACTGTGTCCACCTGGCTCACGGCCGACCTCCGGTGCTGCGCAGTCTCTGGCCCCCCGTTGGGCCTGGACACGCCTGCGCTGAAGGCAGGGAGTGAGAGCTGCCTTTCTGGCCAGCATCGGGGCCCCAGGTCCCCAAGTTCCGGGGGAAGAGCTTGTTTGAGAGAGGATAATCATCTTCTCGTAAGGATTATCCTGAGGATTAGTAGAGCAAACAAGGATACAGAAGACTCCTAGTATAGTGCCCGGGAAATCCCACCTGCCCAGGAAAGGGAGGAATGGAAACCACGTTTCCCGCTCCTCCCTCCCACCTTCCCTTCCTACTGCCTTCTTCCCTCCCTCCTGTCTTCTTCCCTCCCTCCTGTCTTCTTCCTTCCCTCCTGTCTTCATTCATGAGGTCCACAGCAGCCCAGGGCACACTGTGTTCCAGGCTGCTCGTCTGGTCTACTGAGAGAAAGGGAAAAATCCCCCTGTGAAGAGGCTTAGGGGGCTGTGGCTACCTCCCTGGGTCCCGCAGCACCTGCTGCTGTTGGGAGGCTGTAAGCACACCTGCTAGGGCACAGGCCCCGCCCTCCGAAGTCTGGCCACCCCCTGGGAAGGGTGGGACTGATTGCCAAGGTGCAAGGGCCTCAGGTGGCAACTTCGCGGATCCGGAAGCAGGAAGTAGTTGGTGTTCTCCGGACCAGGAAACTGCCTGGCTGGGGGAGCTCGGAGGCTGGTGGGGGTCTGGGGGTGGGGGCGGAGCGGGAAGGGACAGGGCAGGGGCCGAGGGGTGGCGTGGGAGGGGGGCAGGGGCAGGGGCAGGGCGGGGGCTGGACTGCGGGAGGCCTGGATGCAGCCCAGCCCCAGAGAACAGGGTTCTGAGGCAGCCCCTGGGGCGCTGGGGCAGGTGGCACTCAGAGGCCTCGAGCTGAGATGGACTTGGCGGAAGAGCTGGAGACCACAGCCCAGGAAGTGCTGGGGAAACTGAGGAGTGGTGAGCCGTTCCAGTCCAACTGGGACACTGCTGCCTTCATCATCTTCCTCATTTTCCTCGGTGAGTGTGGCCTTGGCCCCTGGCCCCTCTTGACCTGTCCTGGACCTGGCCAAGTGCCATATCTGGACACCCATCCCACCCCCAGGCACCGTGCTGCTCCTGATGTTGCTCGTTTGTACCCACTGCTGCTGCCACAGCTCCTGCAGCCGCCGCGCCTCCAGACCCCAGAAGGTGAGCCCCACTGGCCCCCGGGGCTGGGCAGGCGCCAGGGGCAGCCTGGAACTGCCCTGGGGAGAGGAGGGTGTTGGGCCTCCTGTGGAGAGGGGCCGGCAGGGCACACACGAGTGAAGCCTCTCTTGCAGGTACACCCCAGGGGAGTGGATAACTTGGCCTTGGAACCTTAACATGGCAAGCCCACCAGCCCCGACCCCGTCTGTGTGTCCTGCTGGGCAACAGTAACAAAGCCTTGTTTGCCCAGAGCCTGAGTCTGGAGTGTGTTCCAAGCTTCCCGTCAGGGGTGGGCAGTGTGGGCACTCACTGCTTTCTCCGGAAGCCCACCTGCTCCCTCACAGCTCCAGGTCACACAGCAGCTGCTGACAGGAGGCGAAGCTGGGCTCCAACTCAGGGGCCCCAACGCCCAGGCCGAAACCTTGTCCCCAGCCCGCTCAGTCCCCTGGTGGCCTGGAGGACCCCCTCAAAGGTGGGACAGGGAGGCCAGGGGCTCCATCATTGGGTACCCCACCCAGGTCCTGACTATCTGGGATCCCCAGCCTGTTCCTCACTCAGACAGACAGACAGATGCTCCAGGTAAAGTCAGATGATCTTTATTTCCTGGAGGCCTTGTGAGGGACATGGAGCAGACGCATTCAAGGGTATCACAGCTGGTGGTGGATGGCTTTCTGTCTGCCCTGCTGACTCACAGCTTAGGGCCACCACCCACTCCTCACCTTCCACTGGAGGGGGGCGTGCCGCTGCTCGTACCATCCTGGGGCAGCTCAGAAGGCAGAAAAAGAAGGGGGAAGGAGGGCCCCTGGGCCTGGTGCCACCCTGCGTCCAAAGGTTCCCGCTGTGCAGGGAGGGCAGGGTTTGGAGTGTGGGCCACCTCTGGGCTCTGCCTTCCTGGCCGCCCCCTGTCCCACCTTCCTGACCACCCCCTATGAAATGAAAAGCAAGCCAGCATCCCTATCTCTCAGTGGTTCCAGTGTTCATTTCCGTCTGTGCAAATGTGATGGGCAGGATGGGATGAAGAGGAAAATAAATAATAGCCCAGGCTGCCCGGTTCTGGCTCTGGCCAGCATTCTTGGGGGGATGGGTGAGGGGGACAAGGGCCATTTCCCTGGGGGTCAGGCTCTTGGGTGTTCTGCTCAGAAAGGCCTGTAGCTCCAGTAGCTGGAGAACACGGAGATCTGGGGAGGGAGAGAGGTGGGGGGACATGGTGAGTGGAGGTGTTAGGGGGCTTCACCCCTACTGAACCCTCTGACCCAGGTGAGGTTTCAAGGTCATTCAAGGGCAATGTGTCAGGGGGAGAGGGTATTGTTGCTCAGCCACACTGTGGCCCATCTGCCTGGTGTGTGTGGAAGGTACAAAGGACCTTAAGATTTGGGGGTGCTGGGCGCCTGGGTGGCTCAGATGGTTTGGCGTCTGCCTTCGGCTCAGGTCATGATCCCAGGGTCCTGGGATCGAGTCCCGCATTGGGCTCCCTGCTCCTTGGGAGCCTGCTTCTCCCTCTGCTTCTCTCTCTCTCTCTCTCTCTCCCTCTCTCCTCGTCTGTCTCTCATGAATAAATAAATAAAATCTTTTAAAAAAAAAAGATTTGGGGGTGCTTTGGAGGTGTGACAAGAGTCCTTGGAATCCCTCCAAAATGAGAAGGCTTAGCAGCCTGCTATGCGGCTGGCCCCATCTGTCTGAGAGCGGCCCGCCCCGCCCCCACAGTCCCCACACCCCACCTTATCCTTGAGCTGCTGGCAGAGCTGCAGGGACACAGTGAAGAAGACGAGGGCGTCGTTGAGCCATGGGATCACACACTCCACCTTGTGCACGTGGCTCACCTCCAGGCGCTGGGAGCCCCACTCACTGGGGAGAAGAGGAGGGTCCCTGGGGGTGGCCTGACCAGCCCGGCCCCCCCAGCCCCCAAAGTGCAGAAAGTTGGGGCGGGCAGGGTGATCCAGGCCCCCCCCACCTACTTACAACATGGCCCCAGGGCTGTGGAGCACGGCGCCTCCAGCTGGGCGGAAGTTCTAAGTAGAAGAGCACCAGACCCAGTCAGGCCCAAGAGGCTGCAAGGCACTTGGGGGTGGGAGGCGAGTGGGGTCCCCCTCACCTTGGTGGAATTGGGCTGCAGGGCATGCAGCTGGTAGACGGTGAGGCAGAGTTTGTTGAGGTTGATGTAGACGTTGACAAGCAAGTCGGAGGGCAGGGCAGGGGCAAACATCCGCTGGGGATGAGGACCGGGCAAGCAGGTGGGGTAAGGGGCCAGGCAGAACCGCCTGGGGGACCCCATTCCCCAGCCTATAGACTGGGGCTTCCAGACTCTTCCCGGTGCTCCCGGTAGCTTCCTGCACCAGGCTTGGGAACCACTGACCCAGACCAGGGGTATCTGGGGGATGCAAGATGGAAGCCAAGGACCTTATCCCAGAAAACTGTGGCATAGGCCTAGACCTCCAACTGACAACAGTTTGGGGTTTCCAGGACCCCGTCACAGCCCTGTGTCCTTCCCAGGGGGCAAGCTGGGCTCAGCGGCATTCCCTCTCCTGGAGCAGGGGCTGCCCTAAAACACTAACCGTGAGGCCACTGGCAGCGATCTCAGGCAGAGTAAGGGTGGCCGGGGTGGTGAGGCGGTTGCGGGCTCTGGTCAGCTGCAGCATCACAGCATCCATCAGCTGTGGGGAGGGGGCCAGTCATAGCTGCTGTGAGGGCAGCCCCTGCCCTCCTGCATAGGGACTGACCAAGTCGTGGTAGCTCCCAGCTCCTGCCCCCGGGAGTCACACTCTCAAGGCCTGAACCCCTACAGTGTGGGGCTTGTTAAAGGTGCAGGTATTTGGGCTCTAGCTGCAGGTGGGGGACTGGACGTCTGCACTGTTGACCATCCATCCGGGAGGTTCTATTGCATGGGATCCTGGGTGCTGGTCCAATGGGGAATGGAAGATGGAAGATCCCTGGAGTTAGTCCCAAAGGCATGAGGGCTTTGTGGATGGGGGTGCAGGCAATGAAGGAGCTTAGAGGAAGGAGCCTTAATCCCGGTTGGGTGCAAGGAGCCAGAGAAGGCTTCCTGGAGGAGGTGATAGGATGGGTAAGTTGAGGTCTTAAGGTGGGCACCAGACCGTTTTCAAAGGTGAAGCTCCAGAGAGGTAAGGTCACATAGCTAGTGAACAGTGGAACCATCTGGAACTCATCCTTTTCCTTTGTCATGGACCAAAGCTCTGGCCTGAACTCCCCAGAGCCCCAATTTCCACTGCTTCAGATGTTGCGATGGGGGTGGGGGTGACCTGGCTTCTAAGAAAGGGAAATTTTGGGTGGAGGCATGGGGGCTGCACTGCCTACACCCAGGGTGGTCACAGTTCCGGGAGGGACTTTAGTCCATCTAGTTCTAAGTTTTCATATGAGGACTCAGAGGTCCAGAGAGGGAAGGTGAATCACCTAAAGACACACAGCAAGTCAGGGACAGAGCTAAAGCACGAGTTTGGGGCATATAAGAGCAGCTCTTCCCTCCACACCATGTGAAGTCACTTTGCAAATCACAAGGGTTTCCCTATGGCTAGTAGTGCTGTTAGCAGCTGCTCTTCACGGAGCATGTGCCAGGGGCTGCTCCACCTGCATCATCACAACTGCTAGTGGCGACACCATGGTCCCATTTTATAGGTGAGGCTACTGAGGCACAGAACAGCTAAGAAAGTGACCTGGGGTTGCACAGCTTACAGTGGAGGCCCTGGGATCAGAACCCAGGTCTGAGTCTGGAACCCGGGCTGTGAATCATTTGACTGTGTCTGCATGGATATGTGCACACCAAGAGATGATGGGTCCACCATCAGCTGCACCTGAGGATGTGGGGGCAGAGCTCTCCAGGGGCCTGGTCAGGGGTCAGGGCCAGGGCCAGGCATAGGGATCCTGCTGCTTCTGTTCCTGTAGGCAGCTCACCTTGAGGACCTCTGCTCCTGTCCTGAACTGGTAACTTTCATCCCGGTTGGCAAGGAGGTAAATGGCCTGGCTTACGTGGTTCCTGGCATCCTGGATCTGAAAAAAATGCCCACTGAGAGGTCAGTGGGCTGGGCCTCAGGAGGAAGAGATGCCAACTTCAGAGAAGCCACAGTCTCCAGGGCCCCAGATGACGGGCCCTCATCCCGAGGTACTGCCTGCCCGACCCTTCCCCGCCAGCTGTCCTTTCTGTGCCCCCCGAAGGCAGGCCCTGACTGGGTGTTGGGCACATGGCACAGACTCTGGAAGGCCTGCCATCGCACAGCTCACCTTCTAAAGAAGGACAGATGGTAGCAGAGCAAAGGCACAAGATAACAACACACTGAGTGACTTGCACAAGGACAAGAGGGTGACTCTGCAGGATGGGGGAGGAGGAGCCTCTTTAGCTGGAGGTCAAGGGAGGCCCCAGGGAAATGCCTCTTGGGCATCACCCAAGTGATGAGAAAAGCAGCAAGAGAGGGCTCCAGGCAGAGCAAGGAGCATGGGCGAAGGCCCTGAGGTGGAGGAGCAGGGGTCCAATCACACAGGAGCTGGTAGGGAGCATGGACTTTGTCCCAGGAGCCAGTGGAAGCCCCTGGAGGCTCTGGGAAGGGGAGTTTCTTGTTCAAGAGGATCCCTGTGGTTCCCATTGGGGCCCAGGGGCCTATAGACAGAATAGGTTCTCACCTCCCTCCAGGCAAGCCTCTGGAGCCCCAGGCACTGCCTGCGCCAGCTTTGCTGCTAGGAAACATCCTCCCAGGCTTGCTGCAGCATTAAGTCCCCCATGGCCACCCCAGGAGGCCTCAGTGCTGCTCAGGCCTGCCGCTGCCTGCCTGAGCTTGTGGCTTGAGCCCTGGCAGGGGAAGGGCCCAATTACCTGCTGCAGCTTCCACTGCTTGTCCTCTCGGAAGGCGAAGTGCAGCAGTTGGTTGTTCCGCGGTATCTTCAGGTTCACGTCCTGACGGGCAAGAGTGTATAAGCAGGAGGACCGCCCTCCTGCTTTTGGCCACTCTGAGACCTTGAGCAGGGGGCAGACACGGAGTGTGTGTGGCGGCTCAGGCCCCAGTCATTCCACAGGGCAGAAAGTCTCCCAGAACCCTGGCCATTTGGGGTGTGAACAGGGAGGTCAGTTCCCGTGAAACAGGAACTCAGGCCCAAGAGGAACCACAAAGAAACGAAAGGGAAAAGAGAAAGGGGAAGGTGGCCTCAGCTGGGAGGAGGTGTGACTGTGGGCAGAAAGGGAGCATGGATACAGGCCAATGCACTGAACACCTACTACTGGAGGAAAGGCACCTTCCCCCACATCCTGGGGCCTGGCACAGACGGAGCTCAGATGTTGGCTGATTCCACTTTGAATTGGGGCCAGCCTGATCCCTCCATTGCCCACACTTCACTGGGCCCAGACTCAGGGCCAGGCTGTGTGCAAAGCAACCCCCTTCCTGCACCTCTCACTGAAGCCACACACCAATTCCAGAGGAGGTTTGGCGGGGTGGGTTGTTACTTCACAAATGAGGAAACTGAGGCCCAGAGAGGTCAAGGATCCTGCCCAGGGTCACAGAGCCAACTGGTAAAGGCAAAGCTCAGCAGGAGGCCCCCACACTCTTCCCCACTGGATCCTTCAGCAGCAGGGAAAGGGAAGAGGGGCTGGGGGACTCACCGCCTGGCTCAGCGCGTCCCCTTGCAGAGTCAGCACGCCCTTCACCTGGTCTGTGCTGCAACACGCGGGGGTCAGAGCAGTGCCTGCGGCTGCCCTTTTCCACCACCTAGCCCTCCCAGCAGGTTGCCCTGGCTGTCACAGGATGGTCCAGGCTGTCCCACAGCACACCCTCTGGATGTTGGGGCTGAAATCAGTCTGCATGGCAGGGCCTTGGCTGTGCAGTATCCCAGGTGTCCCCCTTCCAAACAGTCCATCCCTCTTGTTTCTGCTCAGCCCGGCTCACCTACAGCTGCCAAGGATGAAGTTCTCCTGCTTGGCAGGCCCCTCGGTGCCTGTACCAGAGCATGGCAGAGTGAAGCGGAGCGAGGCCTCCTGGAAGGGCAGAGGGCAGTGGAGTAAAGTTCACCCAATCCAGCTCACCACTCCTTCCAGAAGCCCCATTCCTGGGTTGGCCAGGGGAGGGACAAAGTGGGCAGCTCTCAAGCCTCCAGGGCACCTTCCCATTTCTCTGGCCCCTCCCCCACCACCTGAGTTTCAGGTCCTACCAGAGTGGATAGCTGTTTCTTCCACATTCCCTGGACGCCTACCTCATGCCCAACTCAGGGATATAGAACAGAGATGACCTCCAGGCTTGGTTAAGATGCTTGAGTGTGGGGAGCAGAGTCAGGGAATGACGGTACTCATGGTAACTCGAAATTCTGGCCATAGCAGGCAATGCCTAGACATTTTTGTGAGTTGACTTATGTTCACAACAGCCCCGTGAGGCCGGTACTGCAATCTCGTTCTTGCGATAGGGAGGCCTCATGAGGTTGAGTACGATGCTGGAGACCTTGAGATCAAGCTTCAAAGGAAGCATTCCATGACCCCAACCCCGACCCCCTAAGCCGGGGGCTCATTCCAGGCCCAGCCCAGCACTCTCACACAGCTGCTTGTGATTAAGTGGGCAATCATGTAGTGGTGCCCCGACTGGACGCCAAGTCCACTAGGGTAGGGCCTGGTCTGCACAACGCGCGTCGCGTCCACAGCAGGCGCTCGGAAGACAGGCGCGGTGGCCCGGGAAGGAGCCGCAGCGGGGTCGGCCCGCCAGAAGCCTTACCTTGAGGATGTCCTGCAGCTGCCTGAGCACGGCGTGCACCTCGTCGTGCAGCAGCCAGCGGAACTCCTCCTCCTGCGGGGACAGGCCGGACGTCAGTCGCCCGGGCCCGCCATCCCCCGCCCCACCCCGCCCGCGCGCCTCACCAGCACTGCTCGCTCCGCCGCCGTCGCTGCCATCGCGGTCGCCATCGCCGCCGCTCAGCAACGGTCACCGGCCCGCAGTCCGCTTCAGGCTCGGTCCACCGGCCGTCAGTGCGCCCGCGGCGCCCGGGCCCACCCCCGCCGCCGATTGGCTGCGCGCGCTCCCGCCCCGCTCTCGGGCCCCCTCCCCCGCCTCCGACCGGCCGAGCGGGCGCTCCAAATCGAGGCTGGCGGCTGCGCGAACCCGCTTGCGCCGGCTCTCCCACGCCGCCGGCGGAACCTACCCGGGGCGCTGGGCGCTCGGGCGCCGCATCCACCGCCACTCTCGGGGTGGAGCACGGCGGCCGCTTGTACCGCCCCTCCCAGGCTCTGATACGGCGCCCTGCTCCGCTTGCGCTCATTGATTGGCCATCGGGATGGCTTGTTCTCGCCGCGCCCGGCGATTGGCGGGCGGAGCAGCTTGTTCCTGCTCGGCCTCGCCCTCCGCGCCCTGAGCTCTCCGGTTCCGTTGGGCCGGGAGGAAGGAGCCCACTGAGCCGACAGTCCCGGCGCTCCTCCCTCCTCTGGGTGCAGGCAGTAACCACTGCCGAGGTAATCAGTCACAATTGTGTTACCAAGAAACGTTTTATTTTGCTTGCAGTAGCTTTTTGTTAATTGCACAAAATCATGTTTTGTTTTTGCCATTTAAACATTATCACACAATCCTATTCTGAAAGACAAATGTTCTTTAAAAACAAAGCAAAAATAAAAATTCACAACCTTAATTACCTAGATTTGTCCTTTAAAGTAGGTTTAAAGAAAAAAAAGGGGGGGTCGCGGAAGAGGGGCTTTCTTACAAGCTTTTTCACAAGTGTCACATTTTCTCCTAAAAGGGAAGGATTTCAAAACAAAGGTGAAATAGCTTAAACAGAAATACTCATAAAAAGAAACTTTACAGAATTGTCAACAATATTAAGACAACATTGACTAACCAGTTTCATTACAGTATCTTCCCCACCCCCCACCCCCCCCAAAATGTCCGGCTAGGACTAGAACAGGCTTTGTGTTCAGACAGAAAAGAATTCCAAATCCCAGTGAAGTTATGCCAAAAACACGCAGGCATCTTCCTTGCCCTCCCCCTATGTCTTCTGAGATCCCCTAGCCTGGGTTCTGATCAGCGCAAATGGGCCAAGGTTGAGGGGGGAGGGGCCCACACCAATGTGGTCTCATTCTATATATTCACTAAAAACGCTGACCTGCAAAGTGTGACTTTGGAAAATGCAACCCATGGAAGGGAGAGAACATTGACATCCTTTAGGTGACTTCTCCTTGTTTTTATGCCACATTCCAAGCCTCTCTGGTCCCCTGTCCAAGGAGAAATGTTAGGGTCTCGAGGATGTCTTAGATCCACCTCTTAGGGTCAGATAGTTCAGGCTGGGTCAGGCCCAGTTCTCTTCCCTCCCGAGACCCTGGGGCCCTGGAAGCATCGAAGACCATGCTTCTGGCTGAAGTGAAGACACTCGTTCCTGTTTCAAGAGCTGAGCCTAAATGGCCATCGTTGGTCAGGCTGGGTATGGGCCAAAGAAGGGACAGACAGAAACACTGTCTCCATGGGAAGAAAAGGAGAAAGGGAGAATGAAGGTATGGGCAGGTGGGGAACATGTGCAGGAGCAGGCTGGAGAGTGTGGGACTGCTGTGAGGGGACCCAGTCAGAGTGACTCTTCCAGAACGAGGTGGGAGTCTGCAGCATAACGGAAAACAGGAAGGAACCCCACTCTCCTCCCTCTTCACTCCTCCCTGGTGGCCCTCAGGATACCTGTTCCCAAGGGCTGGAATGCAAATCCAAATACTTAAAGAGCCTGGTGAGGAGTGAGCTCTCCCTACACCAAGCAAGGAAGTCTGATCCCAGCCCAGGGCTCTGCAGTGACGGTAACTTCTGGGACAGGTGCTCAAGAGCAGTGACGAGAGTAGGCTTCTGTGGGGCTCACCTAATGTGCTGGCGATTTGCTGCTCTCCCTAGAGAGCCAGAGCCCTGTGTCTGCTCAACTTGGCCAATTTCTTTTCAGTTCACAAAGGCATTTATGGAAAGTTGGTTGCACACTGGTAGGTTAAACATGACAATCCTCATCAGCTGGTCACCTGAGGTTGGAGGGCCCATGAGGACCCTCTGTTTGGAGTCAGTGCTGGCTCATCTTGACCCAGAGCCTCTGTTTCATGTGCGGGATCCAGGGGGGATGTGAACATAACCACAGCCTCTTCGCTCTGAAGGAAGGAAGTGGAAAGGCTTCCAGTTCTTACTGCTGATTCTATTTCCTTGACTGGAAAGGGTCTGAGATAAGACAAGCTCAGAAGGGGGCGGCGGGGGGGGGGGGAAGCCAGGCAGCAGTTTCTGGGCAGCTTCTATCCTGGGGTGAGAGCCAGTGTGTGGTGTATAGGGGTTGTGTGTGTTTTTGTGTATGTGTGTGTGTGTGTGAACACACAGCCACCTAGTCCAGGGCCAGTGCCCAGCTCAAGAGCTTTCCCAAAGGCCAATCCTGCTGACACCCCTCCCCTCCCCAGGACCTCCAGGGGAGGAGTGACGCTGTGTGCTGTGCTGATGGCAAGTCTCAAAGTCTGTATAAAAGGAGATGGAGACAGGTGGACTGGTCCAGAGTTAAGTCCCAGGACCCCAACCCCATGTGAGGAGGAGGGGTCAGAGGGAAGATTGGGGGGGCAGGGGTGGGGTATCAAGGGCTTAGTGTATGTAGGCTCGGTACACGGCAGACATGTCGTTGTCAGACTGGTCCAGTGCCTTGGCTCTTTTGTACACCTGGAAAAAAAGGAGATGGGCTCAGTGTCTGACCACAGAGCTGACTTAAAGACACAATCTGCTTTGTGGAGGTAGTTCTAGATGCGGTCAGGCAGGCAGGCTCTGGAATCCAGGCTGTCTGGGTGCAACTCCTGGCCACCCTCCACTGATCTTGAGCCAAGTGCCTCAGTTTCTGTCTTCATCACTAGTCCTTCATGTCATGGAGGAGATAACAACGTTATCGTGAGGACTAAATGGAGCGAGGGAGGTCAAGTGCTCAGAGTTAGTAATTATAATCATGTCTCTGCCTCTAGGGTCTTCCCATGTTACTCTCTGGGCCACTATCCTTGCCCTTCCCTCTGCATGGGAAGCCTTTCCCTAGGCATGGCTGGCTCCTTCCCAGTCCGCTCCAAGGCCTTCCCTGACCAGCCTATGGAAAGCAGTGGCTGTACCACTTGATCCTGGTCACCTTTTCTTACTCTATTTTATTCATACTTCTGACCTTCAGAGATTGTTTAAATAACTATCTGCTTATATTGTGCCTCCCTCCATTGAAACATAAGCTCCACAAGGAAGGGAACGGGCGGCCCCTCAACATGTCCCCAGAGCCTAGAACAGTGCTTGGCAGCTGACGGCCACTCCAGAGCCACTAGGTGAATACTACGAACGAGTGTGAAGAGAATTAAAAAGCCATTTGAGCAGGGCAGTGTGGCGTCCAGGCACACTGAGGAAATGCAGCTGGACACCAGGTTCCTCCCACAGAGTTAGCTGCATCCTCATCTTTTTTAAAACATAGTAAAGTTGAAGCCATGACAACTGAGTGTCCATTATAGCTCAGGTGTAGCTGTCAACTCAAAATGAAGGCTAAATAAAGACCTTTTCAGAGAAAAGAAAACAAACTGTTGCCAGCAGACCTGCATTACAGGGAATGCTAAAGCAAGTTCTTCCAGTTGAAAGGGAACAATACCAGAGAGAAATTCAAATCTTCAGAAAATGGAGAACACTGGAAATGGTAAATTAGACAAACAGAGAAGTATTTTTTTCTCTTACTTAAAAAAAATACATACGACCACTTAAAACATTCCAACATCCTCTGGTAGGTTTAGAACAAAGGCAGATGTAACACACAGAAAATCTATACCCCAAAGCAGGGGTTCTCTTGGAGCACCTGGGTGGTTAGTGGCTCAGAGCAACCGACTCTTGATTTTAGCTCAGGTCATGATATCAGGGACGTGGGATCAAGCCCCACATCAGACCCCACACTCAGTGTGGAGTCTGTTTGTCCCCTTCCCTCTGCCCTCCCCGCCCCTGACTCATGCACATGTATGTACACGCTCTCTCAAAATAAATCAAATCTAAAAAAAAAAAAACAAAAACAAAGCAGGGCTTCTCAAGCTGGGGATATTTTGCCCCACGGGACACGTGGTAATGTCTACAGACCTCTTCTCAACTGAGGGGACACTGCTGGCTTCTAGTGGGTATAGGACACTGCTAATAATGCTAAATATCCTGCAATGCACAGGACGGCTCCCACAACAAAATGGCAATGGTGCCCAGGTTAAGAAGCCTTCCCTTAAAGGAGGGAGGGCGGGAGCAGGAAATGGATCTATGTTTTATGTGAAGAGGTACAACATTAACCCTAAGTAGGCCATGAAGTTAAGGATATTGGATATCCTTCCATACTGCAATCCCTAGAGCAAAGATAAAAGAGAAACAGTGTATTATTAAAAAGTCAATGAAGAAAATGGAATTCTAAAAAATATTCAAATAATCCAAAAGGCACTAAAAAAGGAGAAACAGACAAAAGCCAGAAGGGACAAATAGCAATCAAATGATAAAACGGCACCTCCAAATCCAACCACACATCAATAGACATTAAGATAAAGACTAAATGTTGGGCGCCTGGGTGGCTCAGTTGGTTAAGCGACTGCCTTCGGCTCAGGTCATGATCCTGGAGTCCTGGGATCGAGTCCCGCATCGGGCTCCCTGCTCAGCGGGGAGTCTGCTTCTCCCTCTGACCCTCTTCCTTCTTGTGCTTTCTATCTCTCATTCTCTCTCTCAAATAAATAAAATCTTTAAAAAAAAAATTAAAAAAAAAAAGATAAAGACTAAATGTTAACGGACTAGTTAATCTTAAGATCCTGAACACTGAGCTCCAGCGAGGAGCCTAAATTCACACCTTCCAGAAAGCACCACGCTCCACTGAAATTAACCAAAATACCTGTTTTCAAGCCAATGAATCTTGCAGAGTCAGGGCAGAGGCAAGTCAGAAATCACTTCACAGAGAAAGCTGCCAACACAAGCCACACACAGACCCTTCAGAAGTAACTTCAATTAAAGACAATCAACAAAAAAATTATATAAAATACACAGAGAAGTCCACTGCTAAAAGAGAATCCAAGGCAAAACAAACGGGGGGAACGTGAAAACTGTACTGCAATCTGAAAAGGTGAAGTAAGTTCTCTGAAATGTCCAGGCAGGCAAGGAAGGGACAGGAGACTGATTACATATTACGAAGAGCCACATCTGAAAAGAGCAGAACTGTGTTTCTTTACTTCTATGCTGGAACAATCCACTTGAGACTTGTTTAACTTGAATGAAAATATGTGTCCTCTTATAGTATCTAGAAGATACAGCCTCTAAAATAAATGAATTTATGTGTTTCGTATATGTGTTTTACACAAAATACTTTTTTTTTTTTTGAAATTTTTTATTTATTTGAGAGAGAGTGAGAGAGAGAGAGCTCAAGAGGGGGTAGGGTCAGAGGGAGAAGCAGACTCCCCGCCGAGCAGGGAGCCAGATGCGGGACTCGATCCTGGGACTCCGGGATCATGACCTGAGCCTAAGGCAGTCGCCCAAACAACTGAGCCACCCAGGCACCCCAAAATACGGTTTTGATTGTAACTCTAATGAAGTATTGCTCAGCTTTTTTAAGGCTACCCTTCTGTCGGGCTGAGAAAGCTGACGGCTTTCTAAAGAACGGCAGCTGGCTGGCTCAGTTGGTAGAGCACCCAACTCTTGATCTTACCGTCCTGAGTTTGAGCCCCACATCAGGTATAAGATTACTTAAAATAAACTTATTAAAACAAATAAACAACCCTTCCCCCAAACCCAACTGTTTTTAAAAAGTGCATATGTAGGTGTTTTGTTGCTACTCAAACAAATGTTAATGACCAAACACTCCACTTAATAGGCAGATGCCATCAGAAGGGATAAAAATGCAAGCCCCAAGGACAGACTGTATACAAAGGATACAATTTAAATAAAAAGACACAAGTTGAAAATAAATGAATGGAAAAAGATATACCGTGAACACAGTAGCAGCTACAGTGAGACCAGGCTATGGGCTTCTATACATTTCATAATAATTAAAGGGCAAGTTCATTAGGAAGATATGACCATCACAAATGGCTAAGGACCCAACCACAAGAGTTTTGAAGATAATAGAGTTAAAGGGAAAAACAGACTTTGCTACAATCATAGTTGGAGATTTTAGTATCTCTCAGCAACTAAAAGAACCAGAGAAAAAGGCCAGTAAAGATGACCTGAAAAAACACTACCAACCTCGACCTAACTGATTATTTGCAAAACACAGCACCCAACAACTGCAGAACAGAGTCTTCGTAAGTGCACATGGTACACCCACCAAGACAGACCATCTGCTGGGCCACAAAACAAGTCTGAATGAATTTAAAGAGTTAAAAATCACACAGGATGTGTTTTTTAACCACAAGAGATATACATCAGTAATCAATAGCCATTAGATTCATAGGATGACTCCAATTATCTGACACACTTTTAAGTCATCCACAGGTCAAAGAAATCACAAGGGAAATAAGCATGGCTCAGAAGGAAATGTATGCTTTTAAATGCTCCTGTCTAGAATCAATGACCTGAGCTTCCACCTCAAGAGGTGAGACACAAAGAGACACAAAACAAAGAGAGGGAAGGACGACTAAAAACCAAGGGAAGGCTGCCAGATCCCCCGCCTCTTGCAGTTACCTCATTGGCTGCAGCTGCCATTGGAGTAGGATGGTTGACGGCATCCCCCAGGGCAATGGCTAAACGGAGATCCTTCTGAATGTACTTCAGGTAGAAATCAGGCTTAAAGTTCCCTTGCAGGATATCTGAGGCGGGAAAGCACAGATCAGAAGAATTAAAGGGACTCTTAACTAAGAAACTATCTGCTGTACCGTCAGGGCTCAACATCTCGCATTTCCTCCCTCTTGGACACTGAAGAGACCAGTTCCCAGCCAATACCCCCAAATCCCATCTGCCATGTCTCTGGACCCCCTCTGGTAGAGGGCATGGACTGATTAGAGAGGGTGCGTCTTTCATACCAGTGAGCCCTTGAAGAAGAGAATGCTCTGTGACAGAGGCCTGACCCAGTTTCTCAGCTCCAATCACAACTAAAATGCACGGAGAGGATGAAGGCAACTCACTTTGGCACTTCTGGTCCAGGAAGATGCTGGCTAACTGTCCCTGATTGAGGATGTCCAAGAGTGTCTGCTGGGACTGGCCTGTCACTTGGGCCAGGGTTAACCCCTCAGCGATGGTGGCCATGAAGCTTCCCTGTACCATGTTCACGATCAGCATCATCTTGGCTGCGTTGCCAACCTCACCTGGCCAGGGCAGAGAATCACGGTCACTTCCCAAGAATTCGGAGAGCAGGGACTTTTCTGCCCACCCTCATCCCTGCTCGGACCCACCTCTACACCCAGGGGAGGCCCCATTCACCTGCCCCTGACAGAACTGGCTCTGACCCTTCGGGCTCTTCCTCCTTCCAGGCACTGACTGTGCAAGTCAAAGGAAACCTTCCCACGGGGGCCCCAGGCAGAGAGGCCGTGCGGGATTGACGCTGTCATCAGTGCAGTCTAGAGGGGATGTGGCCCACCCAGCCTCCGGGCCTGCAGTGGCCCGATGGGTGGGCAGGCGTGTTACCTAGAAAGAAGGAGGTCTTCCCCATTGCCTGGAAGCAGCTGCTGCAGTCCTCATACAAGCCCCTGTCTCCGGCTGCTAAGATCACCAACATCCCATCATTAGACAGCTGCTGATTCCCTGAGACTGGGGCTTCCAGAAAGCGGCCCCCCCTGGACACAATCACCTGGAAAGGAAAGTCATAGCTTCTGAAGGCCTTGCCTCTCACAGGGGTTTCAAGTGGAAACACCTGGCCTTCCACACCGAGGCCCCAAACAGATGCCTGAATTACATGCAGTAAACAGAGAAGCAGGGGAGGGGGGTGGGGGGGTGGTCTCCCCACAGACTTAGAATTTCTTGCGATGACCAAGCATGACCATGCCAATGGCTTGACTGACCACACCTCCTCCAGACACTGTCCTTCCCTCTTCAGCCACTCTCAGAACAACAAGGGCTAGAAGTCACCACCCCCTCACTTGGCCCAGCAGCTTAGGGAGGAAGAATACTGTTAGTAACAACTGTAGATGGCTGCTTAAACCAAAAAGGCCCTGCTGGCAGCCTGGATTGTTTCTCATTGTGGGGCAGGCAGCTACAGGACCTAACGCCCATCCCAGCCAGGCGGCACCTCTCCTCACACGGCTGTTCAGATTAGCTGTGGCTTTGAAAGTAGAAAGTGAAGACAGGCTGGTCCCAAGGCTACAGGCCTCTCATCCTCTCCTGGCTTGGTTTCTAGAGTAACCAAGTTGCCTACACTCAGGCATAATCAATCAGCCTGAGTCTTGGGCTCCAACTGCCAAGGACGCTGGAGGGCCAGCATGAACGAGGCCGCTACCTGGGCCAGCTCGGTGACTGTGTCAGCATCCACTGTTGACATGTCCACGTAGCACTTCCCGGGGCGGATCCCCTGCAGCACACCACTGGGGCCCAGCACCAGCTGTGGGGACACAAGGGAGAAGCAATAGCCCAGGCTCCCAGCCAGACGCCCAGGAGCCCCTTAGACCTAAGGTCAGAATCCTGTTACTTTTTTGGCTCATTTCCTGATTAGGAACTAAATATTAAGGCTGAAAGGGGGCAACAAGTAAACAAGCATAAGAGAGAAAAACACCTCTACTTTATTCCCATTTATCTTCAAAAAGAACACATGCATGTTCCTTTTTACTAAAAACCTCCCATTTAAATGATAACCTCAGTGTTTTCTTGGGCTTCTTTGGATTCACTTGGATTAAATTAGTTACCAATTTAACAAGATGACTATTGTACTTGAACTTATAAAACATACAAATACAGCCAGAGCTAAACGTAGGACCTCACCACATGAACCAAATAAGAATACATGGGATGATCAGCATAGATCTCAGGGACCCCAGTTATTTTCATTCTGTTCTGAATTAAAGGACGGCTGTATTTAATTTATGCAGATTACTTTCACAACGGGGATGGCCCCAAATAGGAAATACAACCCTCCCACATGCTACACACACTTACTCATGGGCAGGGGAGAAAGCAGGGAGGCCAGCCAGTTTTCCTGGCTACAACCTGACACACTGAGGGGAGGGAGGGGATCCTTACGTCCTTGGCTGCCTTTGGATCTGACACGCAGGCAAAGGTGATGTCACAAGTCGAAACGACTTCAGCGGGGGTTCTTCCTAGGCGGGCCCCCTCCTGGATGAACAAATCACACTGCAAAAGTCACAGATCCTACTGTGAGCTGCACGCAGTGCACAACAAACAAAACAGCCAGGCCAGAGACACACTGCGCAGTCCTCCTGGCTGGCCTCCCAAGGTAGGAGGCTGAGGCTAGGAGCCAGGGATACCAGAGCTGGTGGTCTTTTTTTTTTTTTAAGATTTTATTTATTTGACAGACAGCGAGAGAGGGAACACAAACAGGGGAAGAGGCAGAGGGAGAAGCAGACTCCCTGCCGAGCAGGGAGCCCGATGTAGGGCTCGATCCCAGGACCCTGGGATCATGACCTGAGTGGAAGGCAGATGCTTAATGACTGAGCCACCCAGGTGCCCCCGGTGGTCTTTCTGAGGGAAGTGGATGGGGCTCCTTAAGGACCGTCTTGTGTTTTTGCATACCTGGTGCCTAGAACGATGTTCTACTTCACAGTAAGCACAGAACAAGTGTCTGCTGAAGGATTCCTGTTTGAAGAACAGGATGTAAACAGTACCTGTTTGTAGCCCTCTGTAGCTGTCTGGGCTGTGGCAAAAGCTGCCCAGTGTTCCAGGCTATCCACACTGTGCTGGGGAACCAGGGCTGGGGCTGGGAGGCTGCCATTCCTTTTTTTTTTTTTT